GGCTGGGCTCAGCCTTGGGGTCCTCCTGCCTCAGCCACCTGAGTTCCTGGGATGACAGGTATGTGATGGGGGACCTGACCAATTCATTTTAGTTCCGACAGCTGCTGCCTAGCAGAAGCCATGTGAGACGACGCAGCCAAAAACAGATGTGCCCAACTGCAGAGACCGGAGGAAAGCCAAGCGTCGGCAGGCTGGACGGAAACAAGAGCCTTCAATTAAGGACGGCTGTGGCCTGCGAGTGGAGACCTGTGAGCCCGCACTCCCAGAGCCTCCAGACCCTCAGGAGTCCGTGTTAGCCTGTCTGTTTACATCCTAATCTATCAGAGGCTCCTCCTCCGGGCATTTTTGCTTTTTATTTCTTTTCTTTTCCTTTTTTTTTTTTTTAATGGGATCAAACTCAGGACCTCGAGCTTGCAAGGCAGGCAACGGTGCCACTGAGCTACATCCCTGGGCCTATTTTTGTTTTGTTTTGAGACAGTCTTGCTATGTAGTCCAGGCATCCCTTGAACTCACAGCGATCCTCCTGCCTCAGCCTCCTGAGTGCTGGGATGACTGGTATGCGCCCCCATGCCCATTGGGTCTCAGCACCCTGAGTCTCAACCTGAAGTCTCCCACACCAATTGTGACGATTCCATTCCAAGTCACATTTGGAGAAAAATAAAAAAGATGATGGGGCCGGGGATTTAGCTCAGCGGTTCGGTGGCCTGCCTTGCAAGCGCAAGGACCCTAATTCAATCCCCAGTACCAAAAAATAAATAAATAAATAAGATGATGGGCGTGATGATGCCATCCCTGCACTCTGGGAGGCTGAGTCAGGAGGATCACAAGTCTGAGCTCAACCTGGGCAACTTAATGACTTATTGAGACTAAAAATTAAAAAAAAAAAAACCCAAAAAACAAAAAGAGCTTGGGATATAGCTAGGTGTGTAAGAAAAAAATATATAAGGGTTACTGAGGAGAAAGAGGGGCTGGGGTGCCCCATTGAGGCGACAAGCTTTGGAGCAGATGTCTGAAGGAGGTAGGACAGGCTGGTGGCTGTGCGGGGCGCCTATCTCAGGCAGAGAGGGGACGGCTGTCCCCAGAAAGGGGACTTGAAACTTCATTCACACGGCACACTAGGCCTCCGTGCCTGTAACTGCAGCCCTGGGAGGCTGAGGCAGGAGGATCACGGTTCAAAGCCAGCCTGAACTACACAGTGAGACCCTGTCTTCAATAAATAAATGAGGAGAACATAATTGATTCTGATCTAAGGACTGGGGTTAAAATACAAAATACAGCCTCCTCTGGAGGCTGAGGCAGGAGGACTGCAAAGTTTGACCAAAGCCTGGGTAATTTAACAAAATAGTGAAACCCTGTCTCAAAATTTAAAAAAATAAATAAATAAAAGGACTGGGGCTGGAGCTCAGCGCCAAGGGCCCGGGTCAACCCTCAGTGTACACACACTGCCAGAGTACACACACACACACACACACACACACACACACACTCTGCCAAAGATCCCGCCCTGCTGGCCACTTCGGCCACAAGCCAGTCTTGGGCAAACATAACAACTATCAGACCTGTCGCCAAACGACACATTTACTAGTCGCCTGGCCCCTCTCCCAAACCTCACGCCCTCCTAAGTATCCGTGCCCCAGCCTGGACCCCAAACCGCCAGCCGCTCAGCAAACCACCGCTCTCCGCCTCGGGACCACAAGGGTTAAACCGGGCTCCGGGTTCGCTGATTGACGGCCGAGCGGCCAGCCATGGTGACCCGACCAATCAGCAGAGGTAGGCGCCGCACACGTGGGAAAGCGTCCTTGGGATTGGTCGGCTCCTTCAGGGGCCTCTCCCAAAGCCCAAGCCCACGTGCAGCCCAGGCTCCTCCACCTAGGGGCCCCGTGGGCCAAGGGCGGG